AGGTGGCATTTAGAGCCCGAGCCCTGGTGTAGCCTTGAATTAGCTTCAAATCCCAGCTCTGTGTACCGACTGGGTATGCTTGGGCAAGTTAGTTGTCCAAGTGTCCAGTCTCTCGTGGGTCAGGCAATAGTTGGGAGTTCTGCCTCATAGAGCAGTGATGGTGAGCTGCCTGTGGAGAGGGCGTGTCTCTGCTGACGCGCTCGGCAATGGCTGTAATTGGGCGAAAGAGCACGCTCCCGGGAATGGGGGTCATCACTCTGCTTGTGGCCATACTTTGCTTGTTTGTAAAGCAGTCAGTCTTTCTTTTCATTGCTGTGAGAACCAGACCTCGAATCCGAGAGATATGAGAACCCTTGAGTTCTTCTGTGTTTGTGGAGTTAATTTTTATAACTCAGTTTCTACTATGCGAGAGACCGTCCCTCTCACCACTGTTGCCCATTGACCTGTTACAGGGCAGTTCTGCGCCCAGCTGGGCACGGAGCGTTGAGAGTGATCAGCTGTTAACTTGGATCAGGACTCGGGTTTACCCAGAGCTCTGTTTGGTGCAAGGGTCAGCAGACTTCTTGGAAAGAACTGAAGAGCAAACATTTGAGGCTTTCAGAGCGTTCTGCTCTTGGTCGCAGACGCCCAGCTCTGCCACCACACCCCGTGTACCATACAGATCCGCTGCCTGCTGGTCGGGGCTGAGTACACACTTCTGTGTGGATGTGGTAACTCAAGGTTCAGTCACGTTCCCAGTTGTGAAATGCTCTTTCATGTCTACCTCTGCATTTGGGAATGTAAACAGCGCTCCTCTGGGGGTGGCGCTTATGGGCATTGAGAGTGCTCTGACATTCGACGTTCAATCATTGCATGGTTTCCTGCAACACGAGTGTCAAACAAAACGAGAGTGTCCCAAAGCCCCGTAATAGGATTGTTTACTTTTAAATCCAGAATGTCAGGAAAACGCTGAAGTCTGCAGGTGGTATGTGTGAAGGCAGACTTTGAGTAGTTTGTGCTGTGAGACCTGAAGTCCTTATGAAGTTGTCCAAGCCAGAATACATGTGTCTGTGACAGGATCAAGTGTGCTTTCATTATTAAGGAACAGAAAATCCGTTTGAAAGTGTTGAAGGCACATACAGAGTCAGAAAGCAAGATAAATAAGAAGCTTTTTTTTCACCTCCCAAGACAGAGTTTTTTTGTGTTGCCCTGGCTATCCTGGAACTCTCTCTGTAGACCAGGCTGGCCTCGAACTCAGATCTGTCTGCCTCTGCCTCCCACCTGTGGGAGTGTCTGGCAATATGAAGCTTAGTTAAAATTATAAAAATCAAGTCTTAGCTAAGAGGTGGATCTCTGTGACTTCAAAGGTAGTCGGAGCCACATGATGAGACCCTATCTCAAAAAATGAAAGAAGCCGGGCAGTGGTGGCGCACGCCTTTAATCCCAGCACTTGGGAGGCAGAGACAGGCGGATTTCTGAGTTCAAGGCCAGCCTGGTCTACAGAGTGAGTTCCAAGACAGCCAGGGCTACACAGAGAAACCCTGTCTCGAAAAACCAAAAAAAAAAAAAAAAAAAAAAAGAAAGAAAATAAATCAAAGATTAAAATAACAACAACGGGCTGGGCAGTGGTGGTGCAAGCCTTTAATCCCAGCACTTGGGAGGCAGAGACAGATTTCTGAGTTCAAGGCCATCCTGGTCTACAGAGTGAGTTCCAGGACAGCCAGGGCTACACAGAGAAACCCTGTCTTGAAAAACCAAAACAACAACAACAACAATGGAGTTGGGTATGGTTATGCACTCCAGCATTTGATTTTGTTGTTTTGTTGTCAAGACAGGCTCTCACTATGTAGCCCTGGCAGGCCTCGAACTCACTGAGATTTACCTGCCTTCGCCTCCTGATTGCTGGGATTAAAGATGTGCACAGCCTCGCCTGGCCTCATCATTTTGAGGCCAGCCTGGTCTACTTAGCAAGTTCTGGGGCCAAACAGGGCTATATATAGCAAGATCCTGTTTTTAAAAAGGAATAAACAAAGTCCAGAAAGCTGTAGAACCAAGCATGGTGGCATGCCTGTGTCACCCCAGGGAAAGTAACCCAGGAGTCTTGAGTTCAAGATCATTCTGGGATATATAGCGAGACCTTTCTTTTTAAAAAGAAAAGAAAAAAAGAAAGGTCTATGACTGTGATCTGAGTATTTGGGAGATGGAAACTTGAAAATGGGATTCTCCTGACCTACATTGTTGAGGTTACACTGAACTACAGGAGACACTGTCTCAAAAAAACAAAAACAAAAACAAAAACAAAAGAAACAAAAGCAGGCAGTGGGCTGGATCAGCCGCTGGCTCTGAGGGTCTTCGGTGCTAACCCTAGGTGAGTGTACCTGTAACCTTGAGGGTTATGGTGAATACATTGGTTTTACTCTGGTTATTGTTGAGTATGTCAAAGTCTCCATCCATTGGGGCGCTGGTGGTGCACGCCTCTAATCCCAGTACTTGGGAGGTAGAGGCAGGCGGATTTCTGAGTTCGAGGCCAGCCTGGTCTACAGAGTGAGTTCCAGGACAGCCAAGGTTACACAGAGAAACCCTGTCTCGAAAAACAAAAAACAAGACAAAACAAAAACAAAAACAAAAAACAAAGTCTCCATCCACCATGTATTTTCCACGGAGATAATGAGGAATTCGGGTCCTTTCAGACCAGATGGCAGGTTCATGTTCGTCTAGAGTGTAACACGCAGGAGGTGCCAGCTTCCTTAATAAGTCACCAAGAACTTGGCAGGCTCCATTGTGTCTGTTTTCTCCCCCTTCAAGGCTCAGTCATTTCCTCCTCCCTGGCAGACGTTCTAGAGACATACATTTTTCCCATTTCAGAGAGGAGTAAAGAAAGGCCAAAGGTTTGCAGGGGAATCCAAGCCAAACCTGGAGGCCTTCTGTCCCAGTCCAGAGCTGCCTCCATTTTTCTCTGGGGTGTTGTGAGAGGCATGGAGTCCATTGCTGAGGTGGAAGGCTGGAGGACTTGGTTGAGCAGGAGGCACTTGCTCTTTTCCACTGGGCTGTCATTCATAAGTGATGTGGCGTTCCACCTCATATTTGATACTTGTTTATTCTGTAGCTGCCGTGTGTGAGTGTGTGTGTGCGCGCGCATGCACATGTGCGTGTGTACCAGGCCTCTATGTCCAGAATCTTGTTACAGAATAGTGAGAGAAAGACAACAGGGTGTTGAGTATAGTTGTAGATGTATGCTACCACCTTGGCCTGGGAGCTGTGACCATGCTACCAGCCCCTCCCAGGTCCCTTTTGACCCACCTTGCTTAGCTCTGGGATTGATCACAACCAACCCTAACCGGGCTTCCTTTTGAATCTGCAGATAAAAAACACACTACTTGGAAATGTGTGCCCTTATCAATATATTATCTCTGTCTCTCCCTCTGCCCTAAACTTAGTGGCTTGCATCAGCTGGGCCTCCCTCCCACAACATCCTTGGCCCCGCCCATAGCAGAGGCTGCAGGCCCCTAGCTCCCGCCCGAGACCTTACATAACTGTTGCTTTCTTCTAGTTCCAAGGTATGACAGAAAAAACCCTCTCTCCGTGTCTCCTTTTCCTCTTGGGACCGGAAGTCCCACCTGTATCTTCCTTCTAACAATTGGCCCCCAGCCTTCTTTATTGACAAGTCAAGAACCATTTAGGGAGCAAGACCTTAGCGATAGACCCTCCCCTTACGGCAGTAGCTGTTCCCTGGTGCTTAACAGCCCTAGGGGCAGGGAAGAAGGTCAAGAAAGCAGCACAGACTTCAGCAGTCATGACCAGTGCTAGGTGGTAATGAAGCATCATTACATTCTGGACAGGTGACCCTGGGTCATGTGATTTTTTTCTTCATACTCACTCTAACAGAAGGCTTGGCAAGATAAAGACTGAAGTTTAAAGAAACCAACCTAATGCTGCCTTCCTGGGCTAGGGAGTGAAGTTTGTTTGTTTTGTTTTGTTTTTCACCTTAGCTTTATTTTGAGAGAGGGTCCCACACTGTGGTCTAGACTTGGCTGGAGCTCACTGTGTAACCCATGCTGGCCTTGAACTCATGGTGATCTTCCTGCCTCACTCAGCCTTCTGGGTTGGAGTTATAGGTGTACATCACCTTCGTGGTATATGCAACGCTTGGGATGAAAACCGGCACGTTGTAGGTATTAGGCAAGCACTCTGCCAACCGATCCAAAGGATCCCCAGAATTGAGCCTTTGTGTGCATGTGCATCCATGGGTGTGTGCATGTGCATCCATGGGTGTGTGCATGTGCATCCATGGGTGTGTGCATGTGCATCCATGGGTGTGTGCATGTGCATCCATGGGTGTGTGCATGATGCCTGCTTGTCTGCCTGTCTTTGGATGTCTTTCCATCTATCGAGCTGGGCTGCTTTTAAGCCTTTAAGCCTTTAATCCCAGCACTTGGGAGGCAGAGGCAGGCAGATTTCTCAATTTGAGGTCAGCCTGGTCTACAGAGTGAGTTCCAGGACAGCCAGGGCTACACAGAGAAACCCTGTCTCGAAAAACAAAAACAAACAAACAAAAAAAACCAAAACAAAGAACCATCTAGCCCATTTTTTTAAGATGAATTCCTCACTGATGGGCTACTTGAGTGTAGGCTAGGTGTCTCAGGGGTTTCCCTACGACTGTCAGAAATACAGATACTTACATTATGATTCATAACAGTTAGGAAGTAGCAATGAAAATAATTTTATAGTTGGGAGTCACCATAACAGGAGGAACTATATCAAAAGGTCGTAACATTAGGAAGAGTGAGGACCACCGCCCTCTCTATAGGCTCGCCTGTAGCCTCATCTTGTGAAGGCAGTTTCTAAGTTGGGGGTCCCTCCTCTGATGACTGTAGCCTGTGTCACACAGTCATCGGCAGACTTGGAATAGAGGAGGGTTGGGAGCTCTGTAGGAGAAGCCGCTGTTGGTTGCGGGGTGCTCCCTCACGGGATCTGGAGCCCTATGCTGGTCATAGTAAACAGTGTGTGCATTCTCTCCCCAGGGAGTCGCCGTTTGGTGGATGTGATGGACGTGAACACCCAGAAGGGGACCGAGATGAGCATGTCCCAGTTTGTGCGTTACTACGAGACGCCAGAGGCACAGCGGGACAAACTGTACAATGTCATCAGCCTCGAGTTTAGCCATACGAAGCTGGAACATCTGGTCAAGCGTCCCACTGTGGTATGTCAATGCCTTTATGGTGCCTTCCGTCCTTGCCTGCCAACAACTTGCTCTCCATGAGGCCTGCCTCTAAGCCGCTTGCTTCTTGAGATAGAGCGGCTGGGTGGGTGTGGCTGAGGCCGGTCCCTTAGGGTATGGTTGGGAAATGTAGGGCAGAGTTGGATCCCATGCCTGGAAGGGTGGCGTGGCGGGGGAGAGGCAGTCTAGCTGAAGGCACCCAGGGACTCCTCAGGCAGAGGAGTGGTTCTTTCTGGACTGTCGGCTGGAGATGCCGGGAGTGCTTACAATGGACTGGTTTCAGGTGGACCTGGTGGACTGGGTGGACAACATGTGGCCCCAGCACCTGAAGGAGAAGCAGACGGAAGCCACAAACGCCCTTGCAGAGATGAAGTACCCCAAAGTGAAGAAGTAAGATGGCTTGGCTGGTGGTGGGACTGGGGAGGAGTGGTGTTGCGGGTAACATTTAATAAACGACGCTGTGCGGGCTGACTATCTAAGCGTCGGCGGCTCTGCTTAGCTCAGAACGCCATGTTCGCGGCCCGAGTCAAGCACCCCGCAGCTGGAAGCGGCCTTAGGCCACATGCGCCACAGCTAGATCCGCGAGACCGCGCCTCCAGCCAGCCAGAAACACCGGCCCTGGCACCCATGCGACGCTAGCATGGGAGATGGCTCTGCCAATCTCCCACGCTGTCTCCACAAAGCTTGGCAGAACCCCAGAATACCCGCCATGCCCGCGGTACCCGGTAGAACGAAGACTCTTATGCTTAAAGATTATTCAATATTTATATATTTGGAAATGCTCAATTAACGCGATGCCCACACAATTAGAATCGCTAACCCAATTAACTAACCTGGATATAAATTGTTAGCTAGGACTGTTCTTGATGCTTCCGTAGTTCTCCATGGCTGATATTATCTCTCCTCCCTCCTCCTGGCTCCTCCTCTTCTTCCCTTTTTCTTCCCTCCTTCAGACTCCTCACTCCGCCTACCTCTCATACAGCCTAGTCGCAGAGGTTTATACAAATGTAGTGGGAAGATATCCCACTACGGGGTGGTCCTTGATGAGGGTCTCAGGGTTGCTTCAGAGAGGAAGGATTGACACCTGGCTGGACCACAGTAGTGACATGAGCAATGAGTCTCTAGGAGTAGTAAACAAGCTGCCATGTCATCTCCCTGGAATCTAGGCCTCTGGGTCCTGTGATGGGGTCAGGCCTTTCTTCCTGTTAGCCCTGGAGCCTGCACACAGCTTCTTTGGAGGTGGTGATCTGAGCGGAGTGGTGGGAACTGTCTCAGTGACATCCGTGTTTGTGCATGGGTAAACATTTATCTGTTCTTGAAACCTCGGTGTGACAGTGTCCCTGGAGGAGCATTTTCAGAGGGAATTGTCTACATTGGACACAGTTTTTGGAGTATCATGGGGCTGTGGCTAGTCTAATCTCAATCTCTCTCTCTCTCTCTCTCTCTCTCTCTCTCCCCACTTTCTCTCTTCCTCTCTCTCTTTCTCTCTCTCTTTAAAGATTTCTTTATTTTGTGTGTGTGTGTGTGTGTGTGTGTATATGCCTGCATGTACATATGAGCACCATGTATGTGCACTTCAGATCCCCTGGAGGGACAAGGAGTTATGCCCATCTGATGTGGGTGCTGAGAACCAAGCCTGAGCCCTCCCTGCAAAGTAGCAAGTGCTTTTAACCACAGAGCCATCTGTTGGTGTTGTGATCTAGAACCTCCGATCCAGAAGCACCTTTCTCAAGCCATGCTCATTGTCACCTTAGTTATCTGACATTCAGTGGCTCCCGGTGGATTGGAGGGTGGCCAAGGCGGGGAAGGTAGTTGAGAGCAGAGCCCTCACTACAGGTCACATGACCAGCATGTTGTGAGCCTGTGGGACTCTCATATTAAGGGATCTGAATAATGGAGCATCTGGAGGAGGAGGAGGTCACCTTGGATACTTCTGCCGTAATAGACCCTCTGCTTCTCTCCCTGAAATAGGAAGGAGGTGTGAGCTTCCCAGGAAGACTGGTGCTGGCTGCATGGCCCTATTAGCATCTCTGTTTAGTCCCTGCTGCCAGCA